ATTTTTAACTTTATTTTTCTATTCATTTTTACTCTTTATTGATAATATTTAATTAGTTTGCATACAAGTTATCACAGGAGATCTTTAAAACTTTTTGTGAATCCCATTAATTATAATTCATTTAGTCTTTGTTCTTTCACTATTACGTTATTTTGTTAATTTATTAATTTCAACAATTTTTGAATTAACAAGAACACTATGCTTATCATTTTGATTTTATTTGCAAGTTATTTAACGATATTACCTAAGTTTTCAGAAGATATAACATTATAAACTTTTTTAGTTTTGATTTCTGTATCAGTTTCAGAGTCATCATCTGAACTAATAGTATTAATATTTATATCTGTATGTGTATTTATGATTATCTATAAAATTTAAAAAATAATTAATTATTTAATACAAGATAACAACTAGCTAATTAAAATTAATTACTGGTGATCAATATGACTTCAAGCTACATGTTTCAGTTAAGGATACTTGCCTAAATTCTTTCAGAAAAATATTTTCAACAGGTTACACACTAATTATTAATTAGAATTTTGATATAATTTTAGTTACAACAGATTTTAAAATTCATCAGAATTTTGATGAGTTATTTACTAATAGTTTATTATAATTTTGACAAAATTTAGATAGTCACTAAGAGATATTGGCAAGCAACCTTAGCTCCAGCTGTAGCTTTCTGTAGTACTTGCTTTTTTTATCTCTTTGTTTTTTTAAATTTCTGACATATACAAATAATCAATGAATGAGTATTTCTGGAAATGCTTGTAATATTTTTATAATTACGTTGCTTGCTTCTACAACATCAATAATTACATTACTGCTCTTATTGTTGCTGAACTCATCATCAAATTCAACATCACTATTATTACTAGTTTCTGTAGTGATTGTGATGATTGTAATGATTTCAGCTCTCTGATATTGATGCTTGATCTTTAATTCTTGAATTTTCTTTAATTGTAACTTTCTTTTGAATAATTTCAGTATTCTTCATCTAACTTTGACTACATATTTGTTACATGACTGAAATTTTTATGATAATCTGACTGATTTTGATCACATGAAACCAGCCAAATTGTTATCTTTATTAATAAAAATAATCAGTTTTAAAAGGATTCAATTCATCAAACCTTTATCAATTAACAAATAGTTTTTGTAATTTTATTTTTCTTAGTTAACTTGTTAAAATAAAGATTAAAATTTATTAATTTGTTCAAAATATA